GGAAGATGTTATCCGGGCCCTGGGCTTTCCCACATTTCAGTTGGGAGACAACCAGTGCGAGCTCAGCAGATGTGAAGGGTTTGGAAAGGAAGCCATCTACGCCTGGAGCATTCCAGAGTCTTGAAGTTTCCTGTTTGACAATCCGGGCGTGGTCTTTGTCTGCATTCTCAAAGTTGCCATTAGCTAGCAGCTGATGTGCGATGGAGTTTGCTGTGACAGGGCAATGCTTCGGACGGGAGCTGCGGCCAGTGAGACGGTTAAGGGTCATCCAAGCCAGCCTGCTAGAATGGGTGAAATCAATGCCTTGGACTGTCTCTTCCCAGCGTTCCCTCCGCTTCTGATCTAGGCATTTTGTCAGCTCTGTGTGGCCAGTGTGGCACTCTCTTCATCACTGTCAGAATGTGTAAATGCATTGTAACATCTATCACACTCTTCATCCCAAGCCGGTATGTAGCTGCGACGAAATCCACGAGGGACAGCATGCTTAGAACAGAAGTCATATCATGCTACCATATATTGCATGCTTATAAATTCTTAAAATTTGTGACATTGTGTTAACACATCAATGCTGGATGATACTACACATTAACCAGGTTGTTTTTGGATTACAGTACAACATACATGTGGTAACTGCCTATTGATTTCGTCGGATATATTGTAATGGTAATTTTTTTTTCTTACAGTGACCCCAAACAAATCAGTTTATCTCGGTCAAACACGATTCATATCCGACTTGGAAATAATATCTTTGTGATTTCAAGTCAGCGCTTTTTCATTATTAAAGGCAACGGAAGAGTAGTACCACGAAACTAAATCTGAGGCGTTTTTGTTCGAATGTGTGATTCATAATCTAAACTGTAAACGGTAGACAGCCAAACTAGTTGTTGACACCTTAACCTGGTCTCTTTTCTGTCTACTTAATGGCGAACGTCAACTGGTTATACTCATTCAGCGTTTTTATAGCTCAATGTTATACTCAAGCGACATTGGGCTGGTTAATTAAGTCAACCCAAGATCATGGTAGATTTCTCTGCGAAGGCGAATGTACAGGGAAGCAGCTTCGTATCCATTACCGGGAGCGTTCCAGTCATTGTCCTCCATCAGAATACACGCAACATCAAAAATGTCCCGGTCGCATGGAATGGAACGTTTGGCCTGGTCTCCGTCATGCTGACTTCAACTTCATGCATGTCCACTTCCACTAGTTTATCTTCATTACCCTGGAGCTCCGGTAAGGTATACTTAAGAATTGGACGCCCCCCGTTACCGTTGATCTTGTGATCCGGTCTCATTCTATGATTGTTCCATGATGCCAAGACCTGGTCCACATTATCCTACAAACAGAAATAGAACAGTCAGCAATTTATATTTGGTCTGGAAAATTCAATTAATTAACAGGTTACCGGGGTGGTGGGGCTGCCATCATTGCAGGGCATGTGGCGCCGGTCGTTTGTTTTAATCCATAATGATCTACATGTCCACACCGCCCATTCTAAAGTTTTTCTTTAAAGGTGTCTATATTCTTGCCCGTGCGCTCAATTTTCAAATTTGGGAATTTAAATACGGAAAGACTTCTCACGGACATCACTTGACACCTTGCTCACAAATCATATGTGTGGACTAAACAAAATTATTTTCTGAGTAAATGCTCCTACCTTTTTCCAGCTAAATGTCACTTTTTTGGACATTGTTATCACTTCCTGATGGGTGATGTTCCAATTTAGGGACAAGATCTGTGACGTCTGAGTACTTGTATGGTACACGTGAAACACATTGTTTATTTTGATTTTTTGAGAACTATATAACCGAGAGAAATAGGCCATACCTGTACTATTCTCAGGAAGCAAAGCTGTATCAAGTTCTTATCTAACACGTCACCGTTGAACAATCCGTCCTCTTTGAGAGTGTGGAAGATATCCATCCAATATTGAGTGCAGTGCTTTCTGAAAAAGCTCCACCAGGCCTCCATCTTTTGGTTAGTTGTGCTCTTTCCTTACAGAAAGCTTTTAGCACCAGCCATGGTGTCTTCGTCGTTTCTTCTGAGAAACGTCTGTACCTGCTCAACATGGTCATTTTCGGTCCCCATATCTGCCCGCACTACGCGTGGACATCCGTGCCTAGAAGAAACTGCTGCCAGATAGTAGCCTAGTATTATTTTGGGATCGTTATTGGTGGTGTATGCCTCTAACCAAATCAAGTGTCTAGAATAACCATCTATGCATCCGCTTATCGCAATGCCAAACGGCTTCAACTTATCATACCCATCCATGTGCCACGTCTGGTTGGGTCCAGCACTTGTGTAGATCCTGCGTGTCAAACGATGTCTCCTCCTTGCTGCAACACCTTCAGGGTCTAGCAAATGTTGTATCATACGAATAGTGTTCTGTGAAACAACAAACCCCTCCTCAATGCACCTAGCGTGCATCCAGCGATATCCATAGCACTGAGCAGATGTTTGCTATTGTTCTTCAACAAATGATGCAATCTTAAGGATATCTGAATACCCTCTCCTCCTATACAGTCCTCCTTTCCTTAAAAGTCGGCGTAGATGTCTCTGACTGATAACTATTCCATGCTTCAGAGCAAGGCAAGACAATATCTCCTTCTGACTAAAACCGAGCTGAAAATACAGCTTAATAATCTCTTGACGGTCCATTTTAAAACGTTTGTTTTTTGGCAAGTAAAAGGACTAACTTTCATATCGGTCTAATTAGTCAGAAACACAGTTACTAATCTGGTCCAGGAGTAACTACATGACGAAAGCGCCAGCACTACTGAAAGTGCCGTACGTATCGATTGGTAATTCGTATGTACGATTTAGTAATTCGTACGTACGGTTTAGTAATTCGTACGTACGAATTAGTAATTCGTACGTACGGTTTGGTAATTCGTACGTACGGGTTACCATCTGTCGGTGGGGGCGCTGTTCAAAACCGACACTTATGCACACAAAGGGCCAATATGGTGCTTTCTGAAAAAGGCACCCAAAACGGCTGATGCCACAAAAAAAGGGCACCACTTCTTTTTTGAACAGGCCACTTGTTAAGAAAAAAAAGGGCACTTCATAAAAAAAGGGCACTAGTTACAAATTATTGGGGGGGGGTAAGCATGTTGAAAAAAGGGCATTTGAATGGAAAAAGGCAGTCTTTACAAAATATTGTTAAGGGGGGTGTAAATACCCCCTAACACCCCCCCCCCACCCCCCCCCCACCCCCAGCTACGCTTATGCATTGGATCAAGTTCAGTTATTCTCTTTTAAAATGAAATCACGTTACTGACTTCAATAATGGATTAAACTAAATAAAAGCATACTTGTTGCTGTGCGTAGGAACTGTATAATGGCCTGTGTTGCCTGTTGCACTACTGCGTAGAGATTGGTAAGCCCTCCATTACATATTTTGGTAAATATCTATGATTTAATATTGAATCTTTAATGTCTTTGTTGTATGACAGAGGTTACATACAAGCGCTCTTGTTCTCGTCCTGTGGCAGTCCCAGATGTCAGACAGTATGTTGACGATTCAATCAAGCTACTTGACACCCCTCACCCTTCGTTCTTCCATGAATCCACCATTATGTCACGGTGTAAGGATCCATTAACAATGACACTGGTAACTGGTCCGCTCCGCACCTGTAATGACGGCAGATGGACTGGACCTGTGCCAGTATGCGGTATGTTTTACTTTATTTAATTGGTATTTGATTGAACGAAAACAATTGTATTGACCAAGATTTGAATGTGGGTACTCTGCATCAATATACTTTTGGTGCTCTATTTCGCCAGATTTCCAATACCCATTTTTTTTCTATAAAATTGGTATTTATGAATAGAAACCATATGTACCAAGTGGCCTCCGATCCTATCCAAAATTACGGTGATGTAGCATGTGGTTAACACTCAGATGACAGGATAAGGGATATTATTACTAAGGCCAAGTTTCATTGAAAAAAATAGTAAATTTAACAATGAAATTCACTAGAGAGGAATTTAAACCTGCGTTTTACAGAACACTCTTAATTCAAGGCATATTTTTGTTTCCCAAATTGCTCAGCGTCGCAGGGCACAACTCGGAAACCATGAAATCAAACATGATCTTTGCGATTTTGTGCATCAAGATCAAGAGGTGTTGCTTAAAGTATATCCTCTTCCTATTCATGGCAGAGCGGGCATCAACAAGCTTCAGCCTCCCGGCCTTAGATACCACGCTCCATCAGTTCATGGCTAATGGCACCTTGCTCATCTACCCTGGTGTTGGTCAGTTGAATGTGGATTGCATTGTCTCCAGCGGTTACCCAGTTTTAGAACACAGTCACTCACACCAATGGACTCCAGGTGGTCAAGGAAAAAAGAAGTATGGTGTGCCTGCAGAAGGCCACTCAGGGACTTACACCTGTAAGAAGGCTTGGTGGCCATTTGTATTTCATCGGCTTATGATACAGATAAGAGGTAAGTAAAGCTGACACCAGTTGATCTTAGTAAAAGCATGCAATATTAGCATTTGAATATATTAAACAAAAGCGGGTGCTGTTCAAAATACAAATGTACATTTAAGGTAATATTGTGTGTTTAGACGTCCCTTAGCATTACATCAAAACGGTCCATTTAAAGATTTGTACTTTATGTTCTCCGTTTTTTAAATCTATTTAATACATTAAGACTGTTCAAAAGATAAAGAAAATCTCAAAATGGATTGTTTATGTCACTACAAAAATAGGGGGAAGATGATCCAGTATCAGGGGGAAAATGTCACCCCCGGGATTAACGCCGTTTACATTAACTTTATAAAGTAAAAACAATCATAACTCAACTGAAATATTAACAAGGCTGAACATCATCTATCCCTTACTTAAGAGTGGGTTAAAAAAACACACAACTAATTTGGCATTATTGGCTCATGGTTCATTTTGAATGTTGCAGTACAGGCTATAATGTTTTGAATGCATGTCTTTAATTGTCCGCTGTTCTTATTCTTTATTCTCCAACAACAACTTTCATGTAGCTGTTTCCTGTCCAGAGCCAAGGCCCCCGTTAAACGGTCGTCGTATCGGTGATGACTTCCGCCTCACAAAGTCAGTGTTATTTGAATGCAACGAGGGCTTTGATCTCATCGGGGAACGGACGATCAAATGCAACCTTGGTGAATGGTTGGGAGAAATACCACGCTGCAGAGGTGAGTGAATGAGGCTTCCAGTTTTAGAATCTGAGTGTATTATTTGCACTAAGAAACACTCTAGCCTATATAGCTATTGCCAGATTCAGGTACGTGCATCTTCAGTGTACGTGTACCTGATGAGTTTGTTTTGGAAAGTTGGAAAGACAGGATGCTATGGGTTCCAGCTGTAAAAATGTCATAGGTTGTCATATACAGCAAATGTTGATATATTGTCAATGAACGCCTGAGAAAGACATTTCACTTGTGTCCACTGGTTCTGTTCGTGTGTTTGTATGGCTGACAGTGTTGTAGCACTCGTACTCGTACTCTTTTGAGTCGTACTCGAGTACTTTTGTCAGTACTCGTACCCGTACTCATGGAAATGTGCTCGACATCGTATGCGCAGGAATTTTTTCCTGTACTCATACTGGTACTCGTACTCATGGCGAGGTATTCGTACTCGTACTCTTGGAAAGTGCTTGTACCCATACTCTTAACAATACAGCATAATAAAGGCATGTTCAGCACGCAGTTGATTGTCTTATCTGTGCACAGTTAGCTACATAGCTAAATGCTCAATGCTGAATACAGTCTACCAGTACAGGGCTGCATTTTATGGTACATGTACAAACAATGCTGTCATAGCCTGTAAAACCACACTTCTGGACACACTGTACAATACAAAGTATGTACATTATACATGCACTTCTTGAAGTGCAACAAACATGTTTAAAAAAACTGTTTGTGCTCCAAAGTTAACGCTATGTTCGTTTAATCTTTCAACCCAGCGAGTTAGTTACAGAATTTGTAAGAATGACATTGTTTTGGATGTCAAACAGGCACCCCCTCTCCCCATTCAAAATTAAAAGTTACAAATAAAAACATTACAAAACACAAACCTTTCTGATTGTTGGAAGTTCAGAAATATAAGTGATTGACTCCTAGCAAGATAACATTTAATGGTTTGTTGGGAAAATTAAAGACTGATTGAAATCATACAGAGAGCAAGTTTAAGCACCAACCATTATACACTTTGAATCTTATCGCACGCTTGTCCTGAAACTTTTGTTATTGAATGCATGACTCCAGTCATACCTGTTTAATAAAGTAAATAAATGTCAAACTGTTCCATTTCTCCCGCTCTTGTTAAAGTTCTACACTTCAGGGTTCCATTCAGTTGTCCAATCGTGTAAAATTGTTTGGGTTTTAAGGGTTCGCATTTGTTTTACGCTCATGAACTATCTTGTTTTTTTCCTTTTGCCTGTGTGACTGAAAAGTATATAATAGGGAATATTTGCACCCATGGAAACCTACTCGTACTCGTACTCATGGAAAAGTACTCGTACTCGTACTCATGGAAGTGCACTTGTACTCGTACTCGTATACTCGATCTCGTCTCGTACTCATAAAAAAAGTACTCGACTTCAACACTGATGGCCGGAGACTACTTATCTGTAAAATGTGCACGAACGTAATAAAATTAAAGGTTTAAGATTAAAAACTGTATGACATACTTGTAACTATGTAGCGTGGCATGGCACGCGTGATAGCATTGTGTTGCGTTACATTGCATTGTAATTATATGTTGGCTTTATGTCAAAATATTATATAAAGAATAATTCCTTCTTGGTTTCTTATTGTATTCTGTAACCAGCTCGGGACTGTCCTGAGATCAACATGGCACACCTAGACCCCAACCTACATCTCACGATAAATGGAGGCAACTCACCAGGCTCAGTCGTGATATTTACTTGCCAATCCGGATTCCATCGGGTAGGAGAAACACGCCTCGCTTGCCAGGGTGGCAGCTGGTCTCCTTCCTTCCCTACTTGTGAAGGTGAGACTCTGGTTTATTTCGAAGTCAGTCAAACAATTTATTAGGTGTTGGGGTATGAGCCGTAAACCTACTGTTATTTTATGAATTTATTATGATTTTTTTCTCCCAGACACATTCTTCTCCAGAACTGTTTGTCAACATGAAAAGTGATATGAACTTCAGTTGTCAATACATGAATGCACAACCCACTGAAAATGTGTTTTTGTGATTACGTCATCATGACGTCATCATGGGTCACGTGACGTCCTTTCAGAAAATAATAAATGTTATCTTTGAAATTCAATATAAAATCGACTGTGAGAAAACGGAACTTGAATTTTGCGGGAATTGACATGATAATACATGATTTCCATTTTATCTGGTGCGCGTCAAATCACGTGACCCTTCCTTCCGGTCAAATCTGGAAGTGCCTAATAATTTGATAGTGGAAAAGGATGTGAACTTGTTTTCAAGTGTCTGCCTGGGTTGACCTTTAAGAAATGATCGGTGATGCCATGAAGTGTTCGAGCGCCATCTAGCGGAGGTTTTAAAATATCAAAAACCATGATCTTCACTTGATGTCTGTGGAAAAGTTTGCGGTAATCGCGTCAAAATAAATATACATGATGACCTTTATTGCAGACAGGACCTGTGCGCAAAAACAAATTGATTAATTACGTCATCAGACCGGAAGTTACAATGAAAAGACCTTTTGCTAAAAAATCAACTGTGATAGATATAATCAAGATCTGGCTATATAGCACAGTTAGCATACCTCGTGCACTTTCAGGTATAATGACGTAACAATGACGTCATCAAGTATCATATTACAAGCAAATAAAGATTCCTATGTTTAATCTTTGAAAATCAATATCAAATCAACTGTTACAGATTTGAATTAGTTTTTATGGCAATCGATACAATATTGCAGGGTCTTTATATTTGGTATTAAGTGGTATTAAGTGCAAAATCACCTGACTCCTCCTTCCAGTCGTAACCGGAAGTGCCTTAAAATTTGAAATTAGTAAAAGATATGAACTTACTTTCAACGATGTGAGTGACTGCCTAGAATGTACTTTAGAAAAAAATTACAGGTGATGTCATAAAATGTTAGAGCGCCCTCTAGCGGCATGTCGACTAGGTCAAACATGGATTTAAACATGCATTTTATGTGTGGCAAAGTTTGCGGTAATCAATGGCCCAACACCGTGTGGTTGTTCCTACAACCTCTAGTTCTGTCTGAAGTAAAATCGTGATTAGTGGTTACTCATTAACTATTATGAACATGTATTTGGTTCAGTTACCAGAGCAGAAAGTAACGTAATGATATAAGGATTCCATTATAGTAACAAATACAATTGTAGGCCTAGAACAATATAATATGCAATTTATCATTCTTATTGATTTGAACCACAGAAGTCGTATAAATTCACCATAAGTATGTTCACAACATTTTTAGAGGTATACATGTACAACTTTATGTTTTGAAGAATTGGAAATTACATTTTTCTCTACTGTAAAAGACTACCTTACAGTCTTTTTAAAAGGCTTTTTGAAAACTTTGCAATTAAATGTCTAAAGAGACGGCGGTACAAAGAGAATTTACTCCAATATTTGACACCCAAGAGTTCAATGCAAGAATCCTAACTCTTTTTGACAGCCGATGTTCCCGATGACACAGGCCCGCTATTGGGGCCGGATGACTGTAACTGTGAGGTTTGGGAGAGATGTGTGGCCAACAGCAATGGCCCATCAACATGCCACTGCATCCACCCGCGGCAGTGTCATGACGTAGACCAGGAGCAATACTGTGGGAGTGACGGTCGGACGTACGCCAGCATCTGCAGAATGAAGGCTGCAGGCTGTCTGCTGGACTTGGACATACAGGTCGTCAGCAATGGACCTTGCCGAGAAAGTAAGACAGTAATGCGCTTCATATCTCTTCTCCTCCAGACACATGGCGATACTCTAAAGCTGTGCATCTCCATCAACACGTTTTCGAATCTGGATAGGTTTTAGCCCTTAGGCCATGGGCCAAAATCTTTCTCAGGTCTAGAAGTTGAGGTTCGTCTTAACTTTCTGGTGTCAACTTGCAATAAGGTCAACTTTACTAATTCGCTAGTGCTGAATCTGAATCCGGTTGTTCAAATTTGCCCCAATTGCACATTGAACTGATGACAACATTTTTTTCTCATTATTTTGCCCAATTTTGGTCAAAAATAGATTAACGCGCGATACGGTGCTTAAAGGTTTTTGATTTTTGAGGCATAATGAGATTTCGACGTGGCGTTATGATGACATATACGTACGCTTGTTGTCCCTTTACAACACAAATCAATCACATGTAAATCAAAAGTTATTCATTAATTTCAAGTATAATACACACACTCATTTCGTATGTACTTGACGTGTAGGAGATTATATGAGCGAATAAAGGGTGCGCAGTTTTCGAAATACGCGCTCAGTACGCCCTGAATAGCCAGTCAGCATCACTGTTAACGTATTCCCCACGGCCAGGGGTTAATGAAAGAACGCACACGCGCCCATGGAGGCGAGGCTGGTACGTAATGGCAGCGATGTATCGCAATCGCCCTTATGCAGTATAGTTGCATTGGGGAAACATTCCCCTTTATTCTAATTTGTGCACCGTGATTGTAAAATATCAATTAACATGTTTCAAACTACTTATAACTGAGAAATTAAGTTGCCACTATGAGATTGCATGCTACAGGTTTTGGCCCACGCCCCCCCCCCCCAAAAAAAATTAAAATGGTACATGCTGTTGTCAGTTTTTTCATCATTAACTGGGTAGGCCTATCTGTACACGATGTCACTGCAAATATCCTTGTTATATGTATAATATGCAAATGTACATATTATCCAGCAGCTGAATCCATTATTCCAATTCCAGATGATTGTAACTGTGAGGTTTGGGAGAGATGTGTGGCCAACAGAAATGGCCCATCAACATGCCACTGCATCCACCCGCAGCAGTGTGATGACGTAGGCCAGGAGCAATACTGTGGGAGTGACGGTCGGACGTACCCCAGCATCTGCAGAATGAAGGCTGCAGGCTGTCTGATGGACTTGGACATACAGGTCGTCAGCAGTGGACCTTGCCCAGAAAGTAAGCATAAATACATCTTCAGTTTTCCACCTTTTTTTCGTTTAACGCCAAGTTACCCACAATGTACGGTGATCATTCTCCCATCTGAAGACATTGCCAATCGTTTCCAAGCATTTATACTTTTATTGTGACAGAGTTCATATCTCAAAGGGGTTTTAATTAATTGTAGCTGGCTCATACTCTCTTACAAACCTACCTTTTATTTAGTAGGCCTATGGATGTAAAATATGTGATGCTTTTAACATCACTTGGTGTACTCTAGGACGTGTTCCCACAAGGCATAATCTATAACACCGTGAAGCACTACAAGCATCCGGTAAAGGCAACACATACAATACTATAATTTCTGTAAATAATCTATCAAGTTTGCATGATGAATGAATTTGACATATACTGTGGGCACGTGTACTTAATTTATTAGCGTTAGACTAGAGAGCTGTAATTTAATATAGCTCTATGGCTAGGGTGCTGTTTTGCTTTGATGGCTGGACAGATGCCCCTGCCAAACAGACTGGAAAACCCGTTTGCGGATGCCATCTTGTTTTAGAAGTTTCTGTGGAGTTGAGTCACATGTTTGAAAGTATAAGACGTGTTGTGTTGTACCAGGTGTGCAAACTGTCGTTCTGATTATGTCCCGACACCCCCCCCCCTCCCAATCAACTGTCGCTACATAATTTATGGAACATTCACCTTGTGGCAGGTCCAAGTTTGCAATTGCCCACTGAAGATTCCTTGTTGTCCGACTATTCTTCCGAGAGTTCAGAGTCACCTGTTGATCCTACAGGCTCACCAAGCATGGAAACTACAGAAAGTCGGAACAGCGAGAATGGAACAACGGAGAGTGAAACAAATCACGGTATGTATATATAGTCAATGATGTGGTGAAAAAAATGCAATTGAAGACAGTGACTTTGATCACGTATCAAAAGAACTGTTGTCTAAAGTCCTCATCTCCACGATTGTCTTTATTTAAAAGAAGACAAATTCACTCTTACACTGCTGATACACTTTTTTAAAATAACCACAATGATTAAATTTTACTTTACAAGCAATGGTTGCGTGGTTTGAATTCACACCTTTAGGGATGCATGTGTGCTGCTACAATCTACAAATGGTGAGATAACATTAAAGAGGCGATTTTCCTGTACATGTACAGTCGAACCTTGATAAAAAAAAAAGATCAATGTCAATACAACCTCCTGCTTATAAAAAGAACAATTTTAGGTCGAAAGTATTTGTTTTTCTTTGTTTTTCATTACTGATAATACAAAGGTTCTTAACAAGGTATTTTGTAAAGTCCCAGGGACCTTGTTATAAAAGTGCTCCACTGTACTTCGTAATGTCCTGGGCCGCTAATGTCCAAGACGCGTCTTGGGAAGGGTGACTCGTCTTAACTCGCGACTCACCCTAGGATCGATTTCACCAATTTTAAGACTTTCTTTGAAACGCGGCTGAACTCGTCTTAATTTAAGATCGGTCTGAGGGTCGTCTGATGTCATTAATGCGTGCGTTAATTATTATAAAGTCTGGAAATTATTGCCGTTAACGACGAGTGTTGGTTCTAGAGTTATAGTTTCGAGGAAGAAAATCGCTGTAGAAACATATTTGAAAGGATTTGAAGTAGAGTGATGAAGTGGGGAACAAGAACAGTGACGTAAATCTGTGCCGGTGAGTTGGGGGGGGGGGGTGGGGGATGACCAAAATCCAAAAATTGCCCGCATGTGGAAATTCGAAAAGGGGGGTGGGGGGGGGGGGGGCTGACACCACATTACACTAAGGCGCTCTTCGGGATATAGATGTATATCAGTATGTATATACTGGCATCAAATAGGTGCATTTTAAACGCTTATGTTCTTCGTTTCACCACTTTTCAGTGTTATTGAATGCATTTTGGTCGTTGGGATGTTGAAAAATGACCTCAAAATTATTTTTTTTTCTCATCACAATTAAGTGGGGGATGATTCAATAGCCCATCCCCCCTGGTCAAAAAGTGGGGAGATATATAATCCCATCCCCACTCTGGGATTTACGCCCCTGAGCAAGAATGACTCTATCGTATCTGATGTAGCCCTACCTTGCGTGTGAAATTTATTTAGAGTAATTTTCTGCGCACGGAAATGGTTTTGCGTTTTTCTTTTCAACGACTGATTCGTCGAGCGGTAAAAACAAATACGAAACTGCCATCAAATTGGCAGTTTTGATGCGTCTTGCTATAAGATGGGTTTAGCGAAGTCGGTCGTACAACGCGCCTTAGCTAAGATCGATCTTAGAGCTGTGACTCGACTTTAATAAGTCCAAAGATAAGATAAGACAAGTTTCGTATAATCGGTCCCTGCTACTGTTTATATCCCGATCCGAGATTCGTTATTATTTTAACATGTCATACAATTACACGTAGGAAAGTGTTTGAAAGGTCGTACATAAAAATAGAATTACAGAAAACACACATCTGGACATCTCAATTGCCCCAGTCAAGAAAACGTCTAAGTTACATAGCGCAACAAAAATGTATATATCCTCCTGTAAAGGAAGATGTATTAAAGAGGATATACGCTATGCGCCCCTAACGGCAACTATCCTGAATAGTGAATTGCTTAACATTAACTACCCTTACAGTCTTTTTAAAAGGCTTTTTGAAAACTTTGCAATTAAATGTCTAAAGAGACGGCAGTACAAAGAGAATTTACTCCAATATTTGACACCCAAGAGTTCAATGCAAGAATCCTAACTCTTTTTTGACAGCCGATGTTCCTGGTGGCACAGGCCCGCTATTGGGGCCAAATGACTGCAACTGTGAGGTTTGGGAGAGATGTGTGGCCAACAGCAATGGCCCATCAACATGCCACTGCATCCACCCGCGGCAGTGTGATGGCGCTGTGGGCCAGGAGCAATACTGTGGGAGTGACGGTCGAACGTATCCCAGCATCTGCAGAATGAAGGCTGCAGGCTGTCTGCTGGACTTGGACATACAGGTCGTCAGCAATGGAACTTGCCCAGAAAGTAAGACAGTAATGCTTCATATCTCTTCTCCTCCAGATACATGGCGATACTCTAAAGCTGTGCATCTCCATCAACATCTCCACATTTCACTAACATTTCATCGACGCAGCATTTATATTCTGCTTTGTTGAATCACGCTCGCTAACCATTTTCGATCATGTGGGAAAAATATGACACCATTTTTAATTAGACCCCAATCTCTTTTTCGTTGAAGATGACTACGCGGCCTGCGGGTACAGTGAATATGCAGAACAGAGGATATTTGGAAGAATATCCGGCGGCACTGATGCTGCAGAGGGCCAGTGGCCCTGGCAGGTGGCGCTCTTCTGTCATCGGAACTGCACAAGATGTGAGGTAGTAATGCATTATATTCTTGGTTGTCTTAAAGCGATGCTTGTAGGACTAAAGTTAAAAGACTACCATTAGGCAAGGAATCTTAAACTCTGTATCATTTAATTGCCTCAAGCAGCTAATTGCAGCCGTCCAATTTTTTTTTTTTTCATTTTTGCGCAAAGCAGTTTGCACTTAACCATAAATTGTGGTTGGGATTGATAAAATGTTGCAAAATAAAAAAAATACTTGCTAATTTTCCAGCCCAGGTTTTTCTGTGGCGGTAGTCTCATAGCTCGTAACTGGGTTCTGTCAGCTGCACACTGCTTCAGAGACAACCACTGCCCATGGTCTGCCATCAGAGTATATACAGGTAGGTTGTTTGGACATTTATAATTGGTCAAAACTTAATGATTAAGGCATACATTACAAATAATTCTCGGAGAAATAGCGTTCACTATTCCAAATAAATATGTCAACGTATAGAGGTATAAACAGGTTTCCCATTACTCGGGCACCGGTTCTACGGGCCAACAAGCCGTTACAGCCAAGTGGCTGCGCAGGGCGATTTCTAAAGGTTACATAACACTTTAGTTTGAATAAAACTACACGTACACGCACATGTTCACGTTGGTTGGCAAAATCTTTCAAAAATAATTTCTCCCATTTGAAAGACCGTATCTTCATGCAACTTTCAGGGTTTATTCCCTTATAATGATCCAAGTTTGTGCTAAACATCGTTGTGATATGTTCTTTACTTTTCGTTGAAATTGGAAAATTAGGCCTGGCCACGTGCATATTTGAAAGCTGTAACACTGGCGTAAGCAATGTCTGTCAATCTTTTCAAGCCTTACAAATATTAATAAGGTTCCTGTCCATTATGGTGTGCAGTAAACATTTGCGTAAAAGCCTCCTTCACGAGTTATTAATTGATAAATACCACCCTTTTTGCCGGCTACTTTTGGTCAATACCGAGACCCACGCCAAGTCACGCCGAGTGACGCTAATGAATATGCTAATATGCGATTGTCCATTGTGTGGCCGGGCCGAAATCGGTCAACCGTAGCGCCTACACGTACTGTGCTATTGGAGAACCATATACGTGGGTTTGGTCGCTAATAAAATTAGTGGCCGAAATTTTCTTTAGAGATGATTCAATATGTAACACAAGCGTTAGCCAAAAAAAAAATTAAGCAGAAATTCGGAATATATTTAGATGATATGTGTGGTCAACTGTTCGTGAAATAACAACTTCCGTAAATTCCTAGAAACTGATATAAATACATAGATTTGGGGACGCCGAACAATTTCTTCCAGATTTGAAGGTCAGCTTTACCAGTAGGCCTAACCAGTATTGACGTTTCGGCATCGATGACGGCGATTTTTTTTTCACTGACATGAAGTTTAGAATTTCTTCTTCCGTTATATTTTAACATTTCAATCATACTGAGCATATTGTTTGAGAAATACAACGTCCCAAAGGCCATGTTTTTTGGGGGTGCGTGAATTTCACTGCTCTGTTGTTATAGCGTCTAATAAGTATGTAATCTGATTAGCTTTGCCTAACTACGGCATGACGCTTTGTGTTCGCAACCATATGGCTGGTTACTCCCGATGAGTTTATAATGCATGCATAGTCACAAAAATAAACCAGTGATGAACTCTGTACCTCTGCATCGTTTACCTGATATTATAGTTACTCGTGAACAATCTCATGTATGATTAAGTGTTGAGTCTGGAGCCATAGTTCGTGAAACATATCAGAATATGCATTCTATACATTACAGCTTTCGTTAACTGATAAATGTAACGTAGGGCCCGCCTAGTGCAAAGATTAATGTAATAATAGTACCAACCTTACATAATTAAGCTCGGGTCGATGATCAATAAAACCATTATCTGGCTGAACCGACGAGTACATTTGTATCTTAAGCCCGACGCATACCTTTCAAATTTTTGGTTTATGAGATCATCAGGACATCGTACAGAGGTGTGCGCTGGAAGAAAAAAAATCGGACCGATCTGACCGTGTACCGGGCAACCGGATGAATTAAAACGTTTGATTTTTACGCTTCCGACTTCACCGGATCCGATTTCACCAGACGCAATATTCATGTTAACCAATCAGATTCATGAAGAAAGTCACATGGTTGTCATGTGACTGATCATCATGTGACTGATCACCATATATGGGACTGATCATAGACATAATTCACTTCCCAGATTGTAAGTGGATACCACAGGCACTTGCGTCTGAATGAATAATTCATTCACACTGCAGTGGCCCGTCAATTTTGTCATAGTTGTAGGGCTGTATGGTGTCATGATCATGTTGTTTCGCTTTATTTCAGGAATTCGTAATAAATCCAGGTCAGCTCTTCGACTGTTGGACCCAGCCCTTGTGTATACCCTTGATGGGGACGACGCCCTAATAAAGCACGAGGCGTTTAATTCGGACCTTGATAATGATATTGCCGTTTTACGATTGAGCCGTGATGTCATGCTCAGCTCAGGAATAAGGCCAATCTGCATGCCAAAACTTGCTATGAAAGGTGAGGGCGTCTTAAATTTGTACTTTATAAGGCAAGCATTTACTTAAGCAGCCAGGTACATGCATAAAGTCGATCACAAAATACCTCGCTTGCATGAGCCATCACATTTTTTTAAGTAATACACGATTGGAGGAGTTTCCATCGAAATAATTTCTAGGAGCGATTCCTCGACGTAGATTGTATAGTGATAGTTTACTTCTCTTATTTTAGGCTTACTAGAGTTCGTATCAACTCAACTATGGAAGTTGCTCCGAATTGTATGACTTCGACCTGAGCTGGAAATGACCAAACAATAAGTAGGACCGTAAAAAAAGTAGCTTTGACCGTACTCATTGCAATTATGGCTCAGAAGATGCCATAACGCCAGGACCCTAAAACCAGTCGAGTGAGGGCTCATTTACCCCTTTTTAATTTTTAACCCTGCACAGAGTGACCTGCTGCCCTTTGGGCCCCAGGTAACCGATTTTTTTGAAGAAAAAAAATTGACGGCCAATGACGGCGGCTTAATCTAATCCTCATTCGACCCTTGCCAAATAAGCTGGTTCAATGAACTTTGCAGCCAGGGCTACACCCAGGCCGTGTCAACAAACTTTCGACCAGGCCTCCTGCCAAGTCTCATTGAAACATCAACAAAGACCTGTAACTTGACACAGTCATTTCCCTTCATAACTGCATACCACAGCCGCCAGTCAATTATCTTTCCAGCGCATTGTCTGGAAACTGTCTGGACACTGTCTGGCACGTGGCTTTTTGTTGTATTGCTATGAATAGGGTCTTGCGTGGTGCGGGAAAGTAAACGCTGCGCAAGGTTAAACTTCACTTGTTTGCAGAGCCGTTTCGGATCAAAGTCCCATTTGGTCAACCAGCTTCCCTTTCATTATTCTCAATGTCTTTTTCCCTCCTCAATATCCCTCAACTAACTAATGTTATGGTGGCATGGTTGGCTAGTGCGTAAAGCGATTGTCTCTCATCACTGTGGCCCGGGTTCGATTCCCGGCTCAGACCATTATGTGAGTAGAGTTGTGCGTTGATTCCGTGCCGAGAGGGTTTTTTCCGGGCTCTCTGGTTTTTCCTCACTCTGCATAACTAAAACGCTTTCGATCTCTGGCTATGGTTCCCACATGGGTCATAACGGCGGCTGCCTTTACACGCCTTTGGCTCGACCACGTTGTAGCCGCGTCCTTCGCAATTGAGATTCTCAGTTGCAAGTAAGGATGATTAGCCCCCAAATTATTATTTTTATCAATGTAATGATAATAAGCATTTGATTATTTCTACAATCAGAAAGAGCACTTTATTCACCACACGGCGAACCACCATATGTGGCTGGATGGGGCACTACGCAACCCTATGATTACGGTGATCTGTGCTTGGACGGATACAGGCCTGTTACCTCGTCTCTCCTTCAATACCTGGTTATCCCCGTGCGCACTGACAGAGAATGCAGGGACAGTTTCATCAACCACTATGAGTGTACGAGTGTGTCCTTTTACAAGCCTGCAATCGCGTTTTGTGCGGGAGTACCGGAGGGAGGCCTGGATGCGTGTAAGGGAGACTCGGGAGGGCCAGTCATGAGGCAGATGACCGTTGCAGACGGCAGCAAACGATGGGTCCAGATAGGCATTGTCAGCTGGGGTGAGGGGTGTGCCGTGGAAGGTCGGTATGGTATTTACACAAGACTTTCGGCATATACCGACTGGATTGAAAGTCACACAGGTAAGATGAATGTACATTTATTTGAGTGTTTTGGGTTTTTTTTTAGGGGGGGTGTCTTCCTTTCAGTTTACTTCCTGTACAATTGCACCACTGTCAAGTTACCAATGGCGGTTTATATGTTGGGAATTGTTCACCAGGCCAAAAAAAGAGCTCCGATATTGAATGACCATTTGAAGGCTTTGAAGCAGGAACATGTTTTCATCTAGACCTTTACTTTAGCCGCACTTCTTGAGTGGGTCATTTGGTATACGTGTATATGTGGTTCCCAGTCCCTCAATCATCGATTCTGAGTATGGCCCGAAATTGCCTACGCCGGTCAAATCACGATTTGCATGCTCTCAAATTATCCGGTATAATATCATTTAGTGGGCAAGGCCAGAACTTGAGGCTTTTGTAGAAAAAGTAAAAAGAAGGTTGGAAGCCGTGAACAGGATTGCAAGATCGTATTGCTGTGAAATTTGAATGAAAATGGGTTCTACAACTGTCTTTTGCAATGCAGCTCGGGCATTATTGTTCAAAATGGCGATGAGCTACATAGCCTTGGTCAATGCTCTCGTCGTTATTCGTCCCGTACGCCGTCAATCGTCGGCATATATCCTCACGCGCTATGCACATGCATGTAAAAATACAGCGCGAACAGCGACCTCACGCAGCCACTATTTTTATGCAAATCAGTTGGAGACGATGTCGAGCCTTGGTTCAATCGTCGGCCAAAGCTTATGTTTTTCTTTACTTTGCGCTAGATTTCCAGCGCACGACCTCGTATGCGAATACAGATAATGTAGGCGGGGCTAATATGTGGAGTGTCCAATCACCGTCCTTGGTAAATCCGGACGTCATCAAATTATTTGCAGCTATTCCGGCTTTTGCGGACGTGACAGGAACCACAGTTTTTGTGCATTGGTGCCGTGTGCAGAGACACACAATGTGTTCGTGTATGGATTATGTACGGTGCCACGTTTCACTATGCAAGTTTCCACGCAACGATCGACCAATAAGAAAACAACATTTAAGGTCAGCTAAGGCTATTAACATAATGAGCACCACCCCCAAAACCTCACATGGACGATTGAACCAAGGCTCGACATCGTCTCCAACTGATTTGCATAAAAATAGTGGCCGCGTGAGGTCGCTGTTCGCGCTGTATTTTTACATGCATGTGCATAGCGTGTGAGGATCGATATATGCCGACGATTGACCGCGTACGGGACGAATAACGACGAGAGCATTGACCAAGGCTATGAGCTACAGGACTACTTTTAGTGGTGATTATGTTTGGATGGAGTTTTCTCCCAAAAATCATTGGGTAACCCCAACAAAATTCATTGGAAAATGAAAGACGATGAAATAAGCTTTAATCTGATGTGTGTTTCAAACAACTTTGATAGTTGTGAGTAATTTTGGAGGTGAGCGCATATATCACTGGTGCCCATGGCAGTTTACTTTATACTGGTCTGCAACCCAATGGAATTATATTAACATAAACCATGAATATTCCTTCCGGTGTATACTAAGCAGTAAGTATATCGCTACTTGCGCAATGAAAGGAACGATCTCTCGGTCTCTTGCAGACGGGGTCCGGGTAGGGACGGATCATTACGGCGTGTTTACAAAAAAATATGTGAGTTTACATAAGAGTCTGAGTCGGAAAATGTCCCTAAATACCTCTAAATTCAGCAACAGATAAATGAGAAAAGAAATGACATAACCTAGAGACAATGCTTGTACAGCTTGTCCAGGGGGCAGGACCAGGATGCATGGCCGTGCTGTGATGATCATTGTTGCATTCGGTGCATTCCAGTGGAATCATACATACACTCCTTTGCAAGATATGAGAGAATGATGCGCAGCAGGCCCTTCGCTCGTCTGTGGTCTTTGCACTGAAAACCCTGCATTTATTGAGGGGTTTTCGATGGATGGGGCAGCTTTTACCAGGATCACTCTTCTTTACATCAGAGTCTGCACTCGAATCAGGCGCTATGGAGACATCTGTCTTGTGTATACGCGGATATGGGTGCTCTCATATTTCTAGTGGTGGATACCCACGGGGCCGCTGTTGTTGCTGGAGATGATGAAACTTGGGTCATTTCTGGTTTTGACTTCTGAGCAGATGAATTCAGCAAAGAAGTAAGATAAACCGTTTCGCGGATACCGCCATCTTGCTTGAAATTGTGATTGCGCAATGGCGCGGGGGCACACGTGACCCAGACTAAAAATCCGTAACGTAAAAGGCATGGGGAGGTCAGAGCTGCTCTGGAAAATATTTCTTTTTTCATTGAAAAGAACACAATTTTGGATACAGATTTCTAAAAACTGATAAATGGGACTTATGAGCTGTCAATGGGTGAAAAAAAGTATTTAAAAATACCTCACGTCCAACGGCACCAAGCTCGAAAAGGGAAAATTGATTGCAATAAAGTATTCACGTGACCGCGCATGTAAGAACGTTGCGGAAAGGGTAAGTATCCATCCTCCATTGCGTACTGGGCCTCCATGAATACAGGTCAGCTCGTACGCGAGCCAACTCGTACGCAGGACAACTCGTACACGGACAAACTTGCACGCGGACCTACTCGTACGCGAGCCAACTCGTACGCGTGAGTATAGACTAGACTGAAGGGCGTGTAGGAAATTAGGGTCGGTCAGTTGTCCGGCACATTCTTTTTTTGTTAAGTTAAGGGGATAATTTTGTGTTACTGAGTGGTCCCAATTAGTTCAGTTTTAAATCAGCTTTTTTTGCTCATAACTAAAAAGTTATGATTTGTTTTCCCGGACCACTCGCACACTGTCTGATCCTGGCTCACACCATACGCTATACGACAAGATATTGCCACGTAGTGAGAATTTAAATCGTATAATGTCCGCTGCATTTGTAGACTTCCAACAATACATTGCTATTGTGGCCCCGCGCTATGTGTAAATCAAATCGTTGTACGTCTTGACAAATTCTCCACACTAGCTGTGTGGTTGGAAGCGCATGCCGCAGCATTGCACTACACATCGGTCGCAAAAAATGGATCATGTTTTTTTGTATCATTGAAACTTTTGAACTTGACATCGTTGCATTTATGGAATTTAAACTTTGAAAATACATATGGCTACAATCATAGTTATTCAGTCATACAATCGTACTGTGTACTGTGATAAATCGATAACTTTGGCGTGTGTTTTGGGGCCTGGGGTAAACTTGTGGCGATCGTAAACATCGTTCAATTTAAATTTGCTTATTTCGGTCCGCGTACGAGTTGCCTGGCGTACGAGTTGGTTCGCATACGAGTTGTTCTGCGTACGAGTTGTCTTGTGACGAGTTGGCTGGCGTACGAGTTGTCTCGCGTACGAGTTGACCAATCCGCGTACGAGTTGTCTCGCGTACGAGTTGGTTCGCGTACAGACCTGTTTCCGCCTCCATGAGCAGATCACCATGCTGCCTCAACTTGTATTGAGAGGATCTCTGCTGTTAATGCGTGGAAAACTTTCCAGTTTGTGAAAAGGACGCTTTCGATTACCTCTAGAAGATTGCTTTTTCAGCTGTTCCCTTGACTTTTTTTCAGACTGTGGTCGGGTCGTTTTAATGTGCAAAGCACGGATATTTTTGATGTGGTCTGATGACTCTTTCCCCAGCCATTTCGCTAGTAGGTCGAGCTCTTCGCTTGGTGTTATTCGCAGGTGTTTACTCGCATTGTGAAATGATGATCGCCAAGCTCTGTAGTTTTCAGGTCGATCATCAAAATGTTGAGTCTGGTGTTGACTAACTCACGGCGTGCGAGATAGGGGCCTACTTAGCAAAGTCGTTGCTTTGGTCTCCTGCAGTGGTCTTCTTGGGGAATGGGGACATGTCTGGTTTCCCATTGACGTCTTACTGCATTGCAAAGGATGCTGTGACTTCAATGCTGGCGGGATTCACTGGTGAAGTGGGTCTAATATTGTCAGCAGGTTCCCGGCTTGGCATTGACGAAAAACCTGTCTGAAATTCAGCTCGTTGCTAAATGTAGTCTTTTGTGCACTGATCGATGTCTGCTGGAGCCTGTGCTTAGTTTGTTGCACGACAATCCAGGTTCCAACTCCATGGCTGCTTCCAATGCCTTGGCTTGAGCCAAGGCTGCTGCTGCCTCTCTTTGGGGCCTAGCAATCCCAACTCTGCATCTAGTTTGCCCTCTGCAACTTCATTGTTGCCTCTGCTTCAGCAAAAGATGTGCGGACTCTCGCCACCTCTGCTTTGGCACGGGTTCTGGCTGCTTTGCTTGATGAAGATGAGCGTGTGTATGACCTTTGAACTCGCCCGAGAGGCTTGATCATCGCATTTGTCTTCCATGATGAAGATGAGTCGCCTTGATCGTCTGCCGCAGCTGTAACACCAGCTGATTATATGTCTTTTCACTGTACTGTCCTCTTTAAAGTTTTTATAGAACAAAAATTGACATCCAGTCAAACTCCTAAAAAAAAACGACGAGGGAGTCAGTATGTAGCGTCCAACTCCAAGTTTAATCGTCAGTGAAAAAGGGGTGAAACTGTGTAACATAATAAGTAGTACTGTAGCTCAATAAGGCCATGAACGCTTATACACAGTTCAAAGTTGACTAAACACCACAGTCTTAAATCTCAAAACATGCAATAATTAGGAATAGGAGTGGAATTATGTCAATGATCGTATCGGTCCTTTAATAAAAGATAATACCAGCAATAACAGCACGTGTAAAGCGTGAAATAAACCTTTTCGGTTTCTATAGCCAGTGTTGTTGACTCAAGTCGCTGACTCGGACTCGAGTCGGACTCGAGTTGCTATTTTTTTTACTTGCATGAGACTTGACTTGACTTGGGAAAAAATGACTTCAGACTTGACTTGACTTCACTCGAATAAATTTGACTTGCTAACATTAACACGTTTCGTAAAGTTACAAAAACAAAACAAATCTCTGGGCGTTTGTGCGCACTATAATCGGTTGAAATAGCAAATTAACAACAAGCACGCGATAGCTGGGCATCCTGAGCCTGCCACACGTCATGTACATGATCATGACTAGCACTATGCGTGTGTTATGGACCGTTCGACCTCGTGCATGCATGCGAGGTGAAGTTTGTGCCGTGTGTAGTCTGAGTACCATCCGTTGTTATTGGTCATTACACATTGAGTGGTTTACTGTAAACGTGCTAAATGCAACTAGGGTTTAATGACTGGAAAACGGCTGCTACCCCCAATCCGCCATAAGGTAGCAGACCAGTAAATAAACTTCCATAGAGCCCAATGGTAAATGCTCACACTTCAAAAATTCGGGAAACTACTCACACCTCTCCAAGGTGTTCGAGACACACATCAAATTAAAGCTTATTTCATCATCTTTCATTTTCTTTTCAATTTTCGGGGGGTTAACTGATGACTTTTAGGAGAAATTTCCATTTGGAGATGATCACCCCTGAAAATAGTCCTGAAGCCCATCGCCATGTTGAAAAACGATGCCTACACTCCATTGCAAAATAGAGCGCTTTAAGGGCCCCAATTTCATCCAAATTGAACGGAACTACAAGCTCACAGTCCTGTGCACGGCTTCCACCCATATTTGTTTTACAAACCCTCAAGTTCATGGCCCACAGCATGCTCAAATACTGAAGATTTTGAGGGCATGCAAATCGTGATTTGGCCGGCGCAGGCAATTTCGGACCGATTTACCGGCCTGCAACCATAAAGCAACAAGAATTCACATATCATGCATTAAACGAAAACGGAAGGACATTTTGTCAGACGTCCGTCAAACATTCAACACGATGGCACAAGTTTGAATATAATATATCAAAATGCGGTTTTTAGACTCTTTAGATACAAATAAGGAGTTTGAGAGAGGATGTTTGAAAAAGTGTGATTTTTTTAATCTCCTTACATGATGCACGCTTTGATAAACCCCATTCCCATCTTTACTCCGGCTCCGTCGTCGAACACATAAACTGGTTCAGGAACTTACATCAAATATTTTTTTTTTTAAATGACTCGAGACTTAACTTGACTTGAAAAAAAAATTGACTATTGGAACTTGACTTGACTTGTGAAAAATTGTCTTGGGACTTGACTTGACGTGGAAAAAATGGCTTGGTTACAACTCTGTCTTTAACTATGTGTAAAACGTTTGGCTATGCTATACCAGTATATACGATATGGCTGCAATATGAGCTCATATCGTGTGTTTTTACATTAAGAAAATCCAAAAATAGCCCTAAATATACCTCTAAATTTAGCTACATAGACCCTAATGAGGAAGAAAATGAATTACAGGTGATTACAGAGCTGGCAGTTCATCCGAAGGCAATAAGTAAGTGATAATTCTGCAAATGGGTGTAAACTTGACTACTACATGTGCGAAACGGGCTATAAAAATGGTCAACCGATCGGGGCGCTATATAAAAAAACTGGACATACCCGGTCCAAAACACTAGCATACTTCATGCCATCGGCCTCCCAGATTGCAGTGCCTATGTGAGTATGCTGAGGGGCAGGGGCGGCGGAACGGGGGGGGGGGGGGGGGGGGTTGTTCCCAAGTGCCCCTTTTGCGGCCATAAATGTGCCCCCTCGCGCATTAAATTCCCCCTCGAGATAAAACCAAAATGCCCTTAAAGTATCTTACTATTTCTTACAATACGCCCTGAAAAAACAAATTTCTTACAATACGCCCATGGGCACATAATGCATATTTAGCATATAATCATTGGTTTTGAAGAGCGCCCCCTATGTTAGAAGATGGTACCACCCCCTCCCCCCCCCCCCCCCCTCCCCCAACTTTTTGATTTTACGGAGGCCAAGTGTCCGGTGAAAAAAACGTGTCGACATTTCAGCACGGGTTTGCAAGTGCCCCTTTTTGGTGATGCCCCCCCCCCCCACGTCTGGATGCTCACACATATGTTCATCCATCCTCACGCACTCACACTTCGTTGTTCCATGCAGAGATGGTATTGCGCTTATTATAACACGTGTGGTACTCCTCAAAAAACTTTTAATTCATTGCATGTTTTGTTTCTTTGTAGCAACCAGAGACTCGAGATCTGGATGAAGCTACCCCAACCCCTGAAGATTCTTCCGAGAGCTCCATCTACTATCATATTTCACCTCGGGGGTTAAGGCGGCGAAAGTAGGAATTATGTTTTCTGTGTGTCCTGCTTGAAACCATACTTTTCCCGATAATTGCCACATCAAAAAAAAAAAAAATATGAAAACAAGTCTGGTGAATATTCTAATGTTTCACCCAAAATCACAGATTAAACAATATCCATCAGACGAGAGTTCAAAGAAATTAGAGGTCAACGCTCAACGATAGCGTCATGCAAAGATTGATAATGTACATTATTTGTGTACAGGTAGGTCCGAGTGAAAACAAATCTGAACTCCTGTATCGATTTATCTATAAAAAATTACGTTTTGTTTCATTTTTAATTTGCAACTTTTCAATCTCCATCATTTTTTTTTTATAAACTGCCAATCTTGGACGATTTACAGTAGGCCTATATGGTTTGGCAAACGGGGTGTCAAAATAACACATGCATATGGCGTTTATAACACATGCAACTATTTATTTCTTGGTTGCATTCATTTGCCGTTCAAGTTTTGGCTTTTTTGTTTTTACTTTAATCTCTTCAATACCAGAGGCGTGTGCCTCTTTTATATTTATCAGAATGCTTAGGGCTCGGTATCCTGCACAGCATCATCAGCATCCATTTTGGTGCTGATCTCAAATTGCAGGGTATCAGCACCAAATGCTTCTGCCGATTTCCTCAAACTTGGGAGGAACATTGGTTAGGCCAAAAAAAAAGTCTCCGGTTTCTGGTATGGAGCTTGCCCCAAAAGTGGTGCGGCGATGCGGCTTTTTTTTTTTTTACCTGCTTTTTTTTTTTTTTTTTTTTGGCTGCAAATGTCGGCTGATGACTGCAAATGGTGCCCGACTAAACTTAGTGCAAATATATGGGAGTCCAAAGAGGCCACATAAAGCTTATTCTCGATCATAACCCCATCTAAAAACACATTAAAATTGTGCAGCAGCAGAATTCCAGTCGAACCAGTGAGTTTGGCGGTTTTGAGACATCATCTTGTATTGAACAAAAAACTTTTTCATTTTGCCGACGCGCATGGCTACGGCGACGCGCGCGCATACCAGAAACCGGAGACTTTTTTTTTTTGGCCTTAGCTAACATTAAGTGACATAATGCCATCTTTTAGTTTTGCTGCTGTCACCACAAGATGACATCACCCATTTCCCCCTAAAGTCTTTAGACATATCACGTGTATCTACAATATCCATAAAAATGTCAAATTATCGGCTCATTTTTTGGCGAGTCATTGTCCATCAAAGAATACCGCTGCTGGTTGCTGTATGATTTTTCCTATTTTGAATTTTCTAATGCAACTAGTACAGACATCACCCTTAAAATCAAGAAAATTGTCCAAAACAATTGAAAGCACTCTCGATGAAACAAGCCAATGTTACTGCCCAAGAGCCACTGTAGACAATGACGACTACCCTTTCATGATGAGGGCACTCCTGCGACTCTTTAAATCGCTAATGGCTTTGTTGGATTATTGCCCGAAACTTGCAGATAATTGTATATTCGCCCATTTATATTCAATGCAACAAATTCGAGCGCTTGACAATTTTATCATGAAGGCACGTTGTGAAATGAAAAGGACAATGCGCAATCAAAACGAAAAGCCATTTCAGTTTCTTGCCAACTTCATCAATACTAAAAAAAATCATCTTGAAATTACATTCACTGCAGTTATATTGGCGCAGGATGATAGGATCCGAATTAAAAAACGTTTGTAATCATCCAAAACTCAAGACCCCAAAACATATAGAAATGAATTGATTTAATACCATTTTATCACAATAGTTAAAGTTAAAATTCATTATGCTTTACTTGTAAAAGACTTGTTTTAACGATGTAAAGCAATTTAAAGATGTGGACATGTCATATTTAGGAAAGGAACACTTTTTGGGAACAAAGCAATTATTACGTGACAACGCGCTTCTGTGGTTATACAAGTCGTTACTTATTGAGACATTGAGGCCGGATTTGTTTTCCATAAGAATGTGGACTGTAACTACATTTGTATCATAGAAACACAATTTTTAATGAAAACCAAAATGTTTTTATCAAAAGACCCCCCCCCCCAAAAAAAAAAAAAATCATTTAAATAGCAGACGTGTGGTTTGATGGAGAATGAATGCCGGGACGTTTTGTTTCGTTAACTTTTTTGATCAGAGCACAATGTGTTATTTGTCTTCTAAATTCTCATAAGACTTTTATACAATTAATATGAAATTGCCTTCTTGTAACGTTTTGCCTTCATATATTTGTTTTCATATGATATAATTATAAGTATGATTATTCACAAAATATGTTATGATTATATCAAAAAACGTCATGTAAAAATCTTAATATTCACCATATTTTGGGCTAATAGTCTTTGCCGATACATGTTTGATGGGAGAAATAATACGTATGTATTGTAATGCATATTAAGTAACATATTAATAATACTTATATTTTCTTACATTTATGACTTCTAGTGCATGTAACGTAGTACGCTTATACGCAAAAGTAATGTTACTATATGTTCTTCGGACTTTAAATTGGGCAGATTTCATGAATTTATTTTCCAGAAGTGACTCACTGAGCAAAATGTACATGTACATGTAATCATTAAAATTGTCACATGAAGCGCATATGACACCATCACCAAAACAACTCATTCCTGAAGTTCTTACACATCAAATAGGGCGAAATAAAACAAACCAAAAGGTCTCTTATGAGAGAGCCTCTCAATTTGGATAACTATTTTTTTGTTTTTTTGCATTACAGTGATGTTAAAAATTTCTACAAAATCGGTGTAAATAAATGAAACTTCACCTCATAATCAAACATCTCGGATATACTAGTGTACCAAACATTGTGAAATTCTTAGTCCATTATTATAAATATGTGTACATTTTGAAATGATTTTCTCAAAGTCAACTTCAGAGATCTTTACTTGCACAAACCCGTATTTCAATTTGTGCTGTTTTAACAATTTTTGTTCTTTAAACAGAAACCTTTGGAACGTTCAGGATGTTCAAGTTTAAAGTCAAAGTTCCTAAAAGATTGGTGGCCGTACATGTAATTAGCCCATCGTCAAAAGTCTGGCACCCAGCCACACTTGGTGCAAAGTTTTGGGCACGCTCTCATGTGGTGGTCACTCCTACCAGGGCAAGAGGTCTGAGTCTGTTCCACTGCTGCGGGGAGGTTAGTGTGGGTAGCATCACAGAACGGCGGATTCTGGGTGTGCTTGCACATGCAGATGGAGTATACACTCTGAGGTTTCTCTGGAACAATCCACTTGAGAGATTTAAAGCCTGTTCCTTTGTGTGCTCCTGCAAAAACAAAGCAGGGAACATTTAGGCCCACGTGTTCCTGGGAGAAGAGGTGCACCCAACCACGGAGTAATGATTTGAAAAATATACTAATAACAGCCTTAATCTTACTTAATCTACAAGAAAATGTCTTATCGGCAAAACTAAATATGCAAGACGTCAACAGATTTGGTGTTGCAGCTGTTCAGCAATATTTTGTGGATGTGAGGGAAGGGGCCAGTGGAGGGGTTGGAGATTCGTGAACACAGTCAGCGATATTTAGTGGATGTGAGAGGAGGGGGTTGTTAATTATTGTACATGGTCAGCAATAGTTTGTGGAAGTGATGGGAAGCGGGGGACCAGGGGAGGGGTGAGTACATGCAGTTTTTGTACATGGTTAACAATATTTTCTGGATGTTGGCGAAAGGAGGACAAGGGAGGGGTTGGTAACAGTTGTACATTTTCAGCAATATTTTGTGGATGTGAGGGGAGCGGGACCAGGGGAGGGGGGAGGGGGATACCGATGGGGAGGATATACCCCCCCCCCCCCCACACACACACACCCTTACGCAGGCGTAGAAGTGGGGTACTTCCTTTGTTCTCGTGTACTAAAATTTTGCAATTGTCACACTAATTTCAAAATGCTCTTATTATAACCAGAATTAATTTCCTGGGCTGAAATTCGGACTTAATATCCCTTTTCTTAAAATCTTCTATCTGCGACGGACCAACCCATCTGCGACGGACCAACCGATAGTTTCTGAGTAAAATCCATATTTCTATTTCGTGAGAAACTTGTGGGGTACCAAAATGGTACCCCGCAAGTCGGTGGGCATTCCTTGTGGGGTACCTCCCATTGTTCCGGTAGCCAATAAGGCAGTGTTTATACGTTCAACCCAGCACACTTTTTTATTTACTTTAAGGGCCATCGAATAATCTCCCCAGAAAAACAATTTTTCTGAGAAACAAAGAAATGCCAATTTTAAGATTATGCTGTAACTTTCAGCTATTACCATGATTACATACATTAACTCAGAAAATCGGAAAATATACAGTATAAAAGCTGTAAATGCACCATTTTGTGGTGAGGTTATGTAGGTTAAGCATGGACCATGGTCCGTGGGATGAGGGACGTAAGCATGCAAGATTGCACATGAAATACAAGAATGTACCATGAAACAGTGCACCCTACACTGCACCCTACTGTCATGTGTTGGGCAACATAATATGGAGAACACGGCCTCATTTTGAGGGAATAAACATCATTTGCTTTTGCTGTAATTTTCAGAAATGGATGGAATTGGGGGGTTGGAAATATATATCAAATATAGTTACACTGACTTTTTTGAGGTTTTGGGTTCGAAAATGCTATAAAAACCAAGAAAAACAATCATTTTCCTGTAGTCTGGTTCCCTGACTCCATATAAGAAGAAACAGAGCAGTTTACATACATCGGGGAATTGTAAGCTCAGGGAACCAGTCTAGCTGGCTTGTACCCGTGCATAGGTGTGTAATCGATTGCAAACAAGTGCGATGGTCAATTGGGGCCAGTATTTGAAAAAAAGCCAGTTTTTTCCAACGCTGGTCGGCCGACCAGCGTTGGAAATTGATACAAAAATATCACTTTTCTTGAAAATGACAGTATACCAGGTGCCATGATTTTACAGGATGCTTTACACTGTCATTCACTTACAGTCCAGCAAGGTATTTCAAAATGATTCGGTAGTTTTATTTTTTGATGTTTGCAAATGTTGTATTTTCCCTTTAAAATCATCATAATACATGTATTGTGAAATGTTAAATACATGAAGTCCTGTATACATGTGTATCCATGGACTTCTTCTTATCAAGGGTCATGATAGGCTACCCTAGTTAGGTCAATAGACCAATCAAAAAATGTCAACACAATCAAGGGCATAATACATGTACGTATGTAATTACACTAAAAATGGAAATACGAAGTGTTTACGTATGACTCTCACAGATCTGACATCGGATACACAGAGTTTAAACTCTTTTGTTCCCAAAGACTGAAATTAGATAGAGACAACAAGATTTAGATCGACAATCAATTGAATTTTACAAAGAAAAAGTCTGAAAAAAGAATCATTCAAGAAAAACTTGAGTTGTTTTTTAATGACTGAGTTTCACTCTAAATGGTTTTATCCTTTATTGCATCAGGCAGATGGAGCTACTTTTCACTCAAAATAGTGTGAATGTTCACTCTTTGGGAATAACAGAAGAGGTAATTTTTTGTGGGACTTGCAAAGTAAAAACAAAAAAATGGAACATTAATGTAATGAAATGTGAATCGCACCATCACACCACGGTTGCGTCTTACTCAATCCACACGTGCACCACTTCATCTTCTTGCCTGGTTCAAGATCTCGCACATTGGCCGGCCCATACTGTAAAAACCAAAAAGGAAAAAACAAAATAACTCAAGGGAAATTCGAAAACAGAAATTGTTCAAACAAAAATTATCACGCTGTACTTTTACACTGATTATGTGGCTTGTACACGTAATATAAAAAAATAATGTCTTTGTTGCCAAGCTTCATTATATTCAGTTTTGACAAATTTAAATACTGGTACTTTACCCTGATACATGTACATGATACAAATCTTGCTATTTAAACAGTACCAATAGGCCTCAAGTGGATAATTGGCAGTCGACTATCTGGTTCTCTGACTTGACAATATTTGACATGCATGAATAAAAAAAAATCTTTTGTTCTCGGAAACAGATAATCAACAAAATGGTTCGTGGACTTAATTTCCCTTTAAGAAATTATCTAGGCTAAAGCCATAGATCACTAAGAAAAAGTACAAAAATCTGTATAAACATAAAAGGAAAATAAAAAAACAATTGTATTATCTCCGAAGTGTGGGAGTCCCAACATTTTCCCCAATTGCGCTTCATGTACCTCTGTAGTCTGGAGGAAGTCCAGTAATTAAGACAAATCCATGGGGCTAATACTACCACCCCAGGTTCCCTTCACTGAATAAACTACAGTATTTTCACCAATTCATCTCAATAGCCCGAGCCCAATGTCTATACTAGGTTCCAAGTTGAATGCAGACATGGTGTTTCAAAATAATCAATACAATCCAACCATTTTGCCAACCAAAACATCAGATTTCACCATCAAAACAGATACGCCACCTGAGATACAAGTAGAGGTCGATGACTGAGATCAGGGTACTAAGGTTTACTTATGATGTGGATGAAAAGTGAAATTTACTGTGTAGGCCAAGTAAAAAAAAACATGTTTAGCGTCCTGCCTTTTTGAAAAAAAGAAGGAGGCCCTTTTTTCCCCTCCAAAATGGCTGCCCGACTGGGCTATTTTTCAAGATGGCCGCCACCTTTTTTTTTTTAAATTGGCCGTCACTTGGACTTGAAATGACATGTACCAGCTTTATATGGGCTACATGCAACAGACAAAGAGGCCAAGTTGATGTCACTGTTTAATATTTTTCTTTTTTTTTCAGTAAAAAAATAGCCAAAAAAAAGGAGGCGGCCTCCAAAAAAGAAGCGGGCAGGGACGATAAACATGTTACTTTTTTATTTGGCCTCAATACCAAGGTCTCCTTTAATAGCCCATGTTGTTGTCGCTGTGATATCATTCAAATTTGAAGATTGTAATTTATCTTTGATATAACTCACGTCATGAATGGTGCACGCGTGTGTATCTATAACACTGTATAAAGGCCTCTATGTTCCCGAGTCAAGGTACTCTACTTGACCTAATGTCGCTCCCCATATATCTTATGTCATGTCATGACAACGCGCATTCTTGCATGTTGCCTGGCTTCACGTATGCAGGCGACTGTTTCCTGAAAATGGACGTCTGTGGTCAATGTACTCGATGTCTGAAAACACACGGTGGTGAGTAAAATCTCAGAATTTTCCACAAAACTTCTGTCTGATGGTCCCAATGTCATTGTTCCTAACTTTTCAAGAGTTAGGCCTATGGATCAACCAGGGTAACTTATTGGGTGGATTTGTGTTTCAGAAAGTGGATCAATTTGGATTTTCAAAGCCTATAGCCCACAAACCATCCGAAAAATGATAGTGTCTTCTGTAGAATTCTAAAAGTTGTCTACCATGGCTACGGAGACTTCAGAATTAAACGTTAGATTTGACTTTTCATACAGAATAGTAAACCTTAGTACCTCCATCTTAGTCATCGATCTCTACTTTTGTATAGAGTGGTATATCTAGTCATTTTGCGGCCATTTTGAGGGTGGAATCTGATGTTTTTGTTGGCAAATGGTTGGGTTGTTGATTGAAACGCTATCATGGACTGCACTCAACTTTGACCCTACTATCGCCACACCATGTCCGAATGTTAAAAGGCAATACGATACGTTGGGTCCAATTTACTAGGACTACCTACTCCAAAAGTGGCCAAAATCACGGCAAAGCCAAAGACGACAAAAATAGGCCTACCTGGAAAAAAATGTTGCAAACTGTCGCCAATTTTTATCTATTTATTTTTGATAGAGTATTGCAACGTGACGTCACTTTTCTCTTCAAATCATCTCAATGCAGGTCAGATAATGCAAAAATGTTGAAAAACATGAATCTGGGACTAAGAAACAATCTCAATTTTGTTAGGAAATACGTGAAAGTTTGAAACTAAAATTTTCCTGACCCTCCATAGGCTTTGTAGACAACTGCTGAAGTGTCGTCTGGATCACTATATTCTTTCCAGTTTTTCTTCATATCAAACAATGTCAAAAGTATCATCTCATTAAAACTGATTAAAGCAAGGTCAGTCATTGCAAAAATGTTTTAAAAAGACACGAATTCGGGACTGAAAAACATTTCCGAATTTTTTAGGAAATAAAGAAAATTGTCTTGACTCTCTATATACTTTGTACACAATCACGGAAGTGGCGTCAGGTTGCAGCATTGTTCCGGCGTCTTTGAAACTACATTCTTTCCAAATACCAAAATCACAGCAGAGACTTGACAAAACATACATAAGCTCCTACCACTACTGGTTAATATTAACCAGTAGTGGTAGGGGCTTGGGCCTATGTTTACTCCTAGAACTATGTAGATGAAGAACCCCACAAAATTGTTTGTAGCACAAAACACTAATTAAAGGGAAAATACAACATTTGCAAACATCAAAAAATAAAACTACCTAATCATTTTAAAATACCTTGCTGGACTGTTAGTGAATGACAGTGTAAAGCATCCTGTAAAATCATGGCACCTGGTATACTGTCATTTTCAAGAAAAGTGGTATTTTGTATCAATTTCCAACGCTGGCCGGCCGACCAGCATTGGAAAAAAAACTGGCTTTTTGCAATACTAGCCCCAATTGACCATCGCAATTGTTTGCAATCGTTTACACACCTATTAACGGGTACAAGCCAGCTAGACTGGTTCCCTGACCTTAGGCCTACAATTTTCCAATGTATGTAAACTGCTCTGTTTCTTCTTATATGGAGTCAGGGAATCAGACTACAGGAAAATGATTGTTTTTCTTGGTTTTTAGAGTATTTTCGAACCCAAAACCTCAAAAAAGTCAGTGTAACTATATTTGCTATATATTTCCAACCCCCCAATTCCATCCATTTCTGAAAAATACAGCAAAAGCAAAGGATGTATACATGGGCGTCGCGAGGGGGGGCAAGGGGGGGGCACTTGCCCCCCCCCCCCCCGGAAAAGCAAAACAAAAAAAACAAAAAAAGGAAGAAAAAGAAAAGAAAAAGAGGCGCGAAGACATAGTGGTGTGAATTTAATGAGTTGGGAGGGGGGTAAAATGTCCCTGCCCCCCTCTAAAACTGATAAATCGAGAATGTGTTGAGAAATACAAGCATTTTTTGGCAAATTTTTTTTTTGCCCCCCTCTAGAAAAAATTCTGGCGACGCCCATGGATGTATATTCCCTTTAAGTACAAAAACGTCCATCAAAATGCAGACATTTCCCACAGAACCGCTGCACAGTTTGCCCCCAAACTCCGTACTACACCTCATGACATACTCACGTAATATGCGCAGAACAAACATCGCTGGATTTTGTCGTTTTTTTGGCTAAAATGATGAAAAATATGCCCTTTCCGCACTGAGCCAACCTGACACTTGAAACGTGCATGCATGATCCAGCGATGATTTTCGGTTCGCTCGGAGCGCACTGCGAGGGGTACATGCGAAATGATAGTATGCTCATGCGTACAAGCGCTTGTACTGTGAGTATGTCAACATGAGGTGTAGTACGGTTTTACGGAGTTTGGGGGCAAACTGAGCTGTGCAGTGGTTCTGTCTGTGGGAAATGTCTGCATTTTGATGGACATTTTTGTACTTAATTAGTGTTTTGTGCTAGCGCTACAAACAATTTTGCGGGGTTCTTCATCTATGAGGCTCCACGTAGCCTCATAGTTCTAGGAGTAGCCTATTAAATACATTGTATTTGTAAAGAGTCTCTGCCGTGATTTTGGTAACGTGGTCAAAACGGAATTACGTACGTTTGCTAGTCGATCCTGTGGACAGAACAATTACAATTAACATGTATGTAGAATGGGGCTACAGCAGACAATATACCTGAGACACCGCAGGACAAAGCCTTTCTTTCGCTTGGTCAGAAACAGCCATCTCTTGACTCAAACCGTGTCCAGTAAGCCAGCAAATTCAGGCCCAATGGTCAGTTGTGCAGACGTGTGCTCAAGGAAGGAGCATCGGCGAGACGGCGATTGTTGATTGAAAGGGCGCCCCCAACTGTTTTACTTTACTTTTAGTCAACGCCTCCGTTCGCCCGTATCTCCCGCCCTGCAAACAGGGCACTGGGGTACGCTGATGAACTTCAACGAGTCTTGTGAAGGAAGTGGCACTTCCTTCACAAGACTCGGTGAACTTCACAAAGTCTTGTGAAGGAAGTACCCTGTGGGGTGGCATTCTAGGTAATTTATCATTACCTAGTATTATAAAGACATTTCGCTGCAGCTGTTTAAGACCGCAGTTAGCCAATGCACGCAAATGCTATCTCAAAAATGTTCTCATAGAAATGCACACATTCCATACAGGATGATTTCATTTTCATTGCGCGATGTGGACACAACGTCGCATAATTAATTGTGCAGTTTAACCATTGAACCTTTGTTAATTCCAAACGGGGCCTGAGCAAGTGAAGGGAGAATTTAAAATTTACAAAACAGATAATAGTTTTACAGATTTGCAGAAAAAAAAACATGATGGAAATAATTAAAAGAGCGATGACTCAGTCTAAAAAAAGGCCGTTTAAAACCTTGCAAAGTTGAGGGTCGTGGCCGTGATGACTTGCAGGTCACAGGTCACGCAAAATTCTATCCAATCAGAGCGTAAATTCATCAGCGTGTTCCAGCGTCCTGTTTTGCAGGGCGGGGGTACGAGCGAGCCTTTCGTCCCAGGAAACATGTTTTTTTATGGGGGCGGATCTCCTTCGCTATAATTCGCAAAAAGTAGTTAAAGCATAATATCTTTATTACGATTGAGTTTAAAAAAGAAATAGGAAAACGTTTGTTGCGGGGAGACTGGTAACGAGTGGTAATTGTGTAAGAATAACCTGAACATCGTCCGAGTAAGTCAAAAAAGATTGTTGACGGAGTAGTAGTATCGAGTACGTGTGATACCGGAGAGCTAGAGCCGATTTCCTGTATTAAAATTATGCGCATACAGTCACATTTTTCAAGTTCTGTCTGCAAGTACCTTCTGATATACTTATGACACCCAGAGTTGCACTGAAAAAAAACTCTATCTGATTCGACTTGATCATAATTATTTTGAGTGGATCCTTTGCTGCATAAAGGATAAATATCATTAGATGCGTTTTTAATATTTGAACGAACATGGAAAATATCGGTAAAAAAAACAAGAAAAGCGAAAACCACCGTCCAAGTCACGTCAGGGAAAAAGTTCCAGCTATATTCGTATATATGCGAATTAATCTCTTCCATATTAGCTTATCTGCAACACTTAAAAGATGTCTCTCGCTACATATGTACATGTACTAACATTTCAAACAACATTCATTTGACAACTACTGACTAAATAATTTAAAGAAATAATGAATAGAAGATAGAGCGGTCAAAAGTTAGGCCTCTCCTCCCCCAATAGTAACTCAATTCACGGAGGAAGGCACAATCCGTGAATAGTTTTTCTGCATACGTTCTTGAAGCGAACATTTTTTTTTGTTTTTGTTTAATATAATGTGTACGTATACCATAAATATGTTTATTTTTCCCACAAAGCAAAACCAAAGCAGAGCATGAGAAGAAACAAGAGATAACACTGAAGCAGCCCACAAGACGTACTGGACGCTTCAACACAAACAGTAACTCAATATCAAAACATAGAAAAAGGACACACAGAACAAACACGGCCACGTTAACACCAAAGCTTAAATCATAAAGTCCGAATCTAAAAACCTAACTTAACAATCATCCAACTGCAAACATAAAAGGACTGAAACATAATATTAAAAACCAAGTGCATAAAAATTATATCCTTAAACAATAAAAATACACACAACTTAATAAAAGACGACTCGGGGTGCCTAAAACCAACCGGAACTCATCAGAACATTCCTTGAGTGGTCAACGGGTGATATACAGTTTTTAAGTATTTTATTCATAACCACAGCAAACATACAATATTAAATTAAAAGCAAGCTAAACTTAAAATGTACATATTATTAAACAAAATAATACATGTAATAATAAATAAATAAATACAAATGAAATAATTGAATACACAATGCACACGCATTGACAGATTAATTCGGTTAAGTTCGCAGATAATTAACATATGATGAAATAGCCAGCAAATTTCGTTTAATCGGTAGCTTTATTAGTCAGTCTGCCCTTTAGTTAGAACAACAACAACAACAACAATAATAATACTGAAGAAGGTACTTTACCATTCCACCCAAACACATTAAACGCGTATTTGCTCATCAACTCTTGCGAATGAATCGTACTCTGTTGTTTGTTCATTACATTACTTTAAAATACAAAATAGACTACCTTAGTTCTTATAGATCTTCCGTGTAAGTTAGGACCATAGCAAATATGGGGACGAAATTATACCGTCAAAATTCAAGTTGCCGACTTGCCGTCGTATTCGCGCATCATCCACCCACAAAACGGGTCTGAGCTAGTATCACAATGGCCTTTGTATTTGGAAGGGGAATCCCTATGACGTCACAGTGATGAGTCATCGATGGACGGCAAACAGAATGACCAGTCCAGACTTGTCCGCTCGTCATGTCCGAATTCGCGGTGTTTTTAAATATCTCCATCGGCGGTACACAGCCGACAGTGCCAGTGACATCATTGTGATGATTCAGAGATGAACGACAAACAGGCTGACCAGTCCAGACTTGTCCAGTCGTCAAGTCCGAATTCGCGGAGTTTTTAAATACATGTACATGTATCTCCATGCACACACGATCAGCGGTGTGAACCATTTCAACGTTAGGTAAACGTTTTGTGTGCATCGGCAAGGTGAATGAATGCAGTTTATATATGCAGTTGGTTTTGATTTCATCACGACGATCGAATTAATGTCCTTCACAAATTCAAGATAAGTTTATGTCTCACGATATAACTATTATCATCAACATTTTTTTTCTCTCTTTTTTTTTTGGGCTTAATGATTTTGCAATGTCGGCGTGATATATTGCACATTATAACATTTTGTTGGAATCGTTTGGGTGATAATTGTCCAAAACAAATTTATTTTTTCTTTTATTACCTCAGGGTCGGCCCATATCCTCTCGATGCAGGTTTACAAGGTACGAACCGTACTGTTTTTTTTCTACCAAATGCGTTACAGTAAATTATTATTTTAAAAATTACAACAGTCTTTCTTAAGGCCAAAACAAAAAGTCTCCGGTTTCTGGTATGCGCGCGCGTCGCCGTAGCATGCAATGCGCGTCGGCAAAATGAAAAAGTTTTTTTTCAATGAAAGATGATGTCTCAAAACCGCCAAACTCACTGGTTTGACTGGAATTCTGCCGCTGCGCAATTTCAACGTGTTTTTAGATGGGGTTATGATCGAGAATAAGCTTTATATGGCCTCTCTGGACTCCCATATATTTGCACTAAGTTTAGTAGGGCACCATTTGCAGTCACCAGCCGACATTTGAATAAAAAAAGGTCAGGTAAAAAAAAAAAAGTCTGGCAAAAAAAAAAAAAGCCGCGTCGCCGCACCACTTTTTGGACAAGCTCCATACCAGAAACCGGAGACTTTTTTTTTGGCCTAAACTACTAGTCTTCAGTCATCACTGTCTTTAATCGACGCTAGTCTTCCTCAAGATCTTGGAGCAATCCGTCAAATTTGGATTGGTGTTTAGGCATTATCTTGTTGAGGGCTGTATTTACTTCTGTGCCTTTATTTTTTTTTTCTTCCAGATCTTCAACAATTTCTTGATGGGTATCGTTATCTTTCAAATGTAGGTAACTTGACAAAAAATCCTTGTAGTTGTTGAAAAAGCATCGCTTGACTGCCCAAAGTGTCTTCCTATTTGCTTTTTCCTTGGCTTGATCTTCACCCATACGCCCGTTGACGTACTTTTCATATTTCTCACTCCACATCTCTTCAGTGGCGTCTTTGGCGTCTTCCAACCAGCCTTGATAGGGGACATTGTCTTCCAATTCAGAACTAGACTCATCTTCATCCGATAATGCGCCTTCTTCTACCTCCGTTTCGGATTCAGAATAACCTTCCTCGAAATCTTCGCCTTCATTTTGCGAAGATTTGGCTTCATAGTTTTCTATTTCTGAATCTTCAAATGACTCATCTTCATCCGAAAATTCTTCTCCTTCTACCTCCGTTTCGGACTCCGAATAACCTTCCTCGAAATCTTCGTCGTCATTCTTCAAAGATTCAGCTTCGCAGTTTTCTATTTCCGAATCTTCAAATAACTCATCTTTATCCGATAATTTGTCATCTTTTACCTCCGTTTCGGATTTTGAATAATCTTCATCGAAATCTTTGTCTTCATCCTGCGTAGATTCAGTTCTACAGTTTTTTATTTCCGAATCTTCAAATCTACGCTTTTTAAAATCAGGTTCAGAATCATCCACATTAAGGTCCTCCACTTTAATTTCCTCTTCAGCATGTACATTTTCTATATGCCTCCGTAGGTTATATCTCCGTCCAAAGCGCTTGTCACACTTGTGACAAGCATCGGATTTGACTGCAGAAATAGCATTCATGTTGAGTCTTTGAAGGTAAATCTCTGAATGGCAAGAAACGGATGAAAACATTTGATATGTAGCTCCTTTGTTTTATGTCTTACTTTCTTCTTGTTCGTTTGCTCTTTTCTTGCTCATTACTTGCTCTTTTCTTTCTCTTTCCTTGCTCTTTTGCTCTTTTATTGCTCTTTTCTTGCTCGTTCCTTGCTCTTTTGCTCTTTTCTTTCGCTTGCCTTGCTCTTTGCTTGCTCTTTTGCTCTTTTCTTGCTCTTTTCTTGCTCTTTGCTCTTTTCTTGCTCTTTTCTTGCTCCTTTCTTGCTCTTTTCTTGCTCTTTCCTTGCTCTTTTGCTCTTTTCTTGCTCTTTTCTTGCTCCTTTCTTGCTCTTTCCTTGCTCTTTTCATGCTCTTCTGCTCTTTTATTGCTCTTTTCTTGCTCGTTCCTTGCTCTTTTGCTCTTTTCTTTCTCTTGCCTTGCTTTTAT